GTTAGCATTTTTTCCTATTTACATAAAGACTGGCATTTCCTAAAAGAGTGGACACAAATATGAATGCGTCACAAAAGTCAGTCTGTGTGGCGTTTTTAAAATTACCCCCAAAAGGAGTTCATCACTATGGATACATATAAATAATATTGCAGCATTTCAGATGTTTTCTTATATTGCAGTAGGCTAAGTTTTCAATATGGAAAAGATGATCCACAACAAGGTGTTAGGTGAAGAGTTAAGTGGGGCATAAAGCTAGCTCAGAAAAACAAAACAAAACTTGAATCTTCATCAACAACAAAATCAACACATTACACTCTTCAACCATAATAATGGTTATAATAATGGAGGATAAAACGATGACACCATTTAATTCATGTAAAACAGCTGGAGTGGGAATTAAAAGACAACAAAGATCAGAAACGATCAGTTCTTGCGTCACAACTTTACACAACACAAAGCCGAATTCGACTTAAACCTCTCTCGATGTGTAAAACCTCTACAACAAGTCGTTCTGCCCAGTGTATGCGCTGGTGTATAAGCAGCAAACGTAAAATTGCTTGATTTATGAGTGAGGTGTGGTGAGCGTGCAGAGAAAACTGCTCTTACCGCTCATAATCATCGCTATTTGCAGCCTTTTCTTGCCCCACGCTTCACCATAATGAGTCGGTGCCTCGGATAAAACGACCCTTCGGGTTTAACTGTAACTGCCAAAGTTGGTTTTGACTTCTGTCCAGCTCAACTTCTCGCTTTCGTATTTGAATGAAAGGAGGAAACGGGTTTAGTCAAATCACCTACTGGCCCAACACTCCGGCTAGGCTGTTTAAAAGCTCACACACACCTGAACACAGTGATGCTGATTAAAGGATCAACGGAGAGGAGAAATTTTCCACCTGATTTCACACCAAGTTTCAGCTTACACTCAAACCCATCTCTTGGAAATCAGTGTATTTCATTTCCTCCATCGTTTCCAGGTATTCATTAAAGCGATTTTTACTATCCACCTTCGTAAATGTCATCATCTTTATTCACTGTAATATTTAACTTTTGGGTGACGGCACAAAGACAGAGGGAGGAGAGGAGAGAGCAAAGAAAGACAGAGCAAAAAGAAGCGGGTAAGAGTCGACATGTAGTCAAATTCTCCAATTATTATAAAGCTGCAGCTTCTATTTCACCCACATTCAATTCTGATGATTTCACATAACTTAGCAGTGTTTTGTCCTGTTGTCAACTGTGGATCCCCCCTTTGTTTTTTTATTCCTAGGTTTTTATTTTTTTTTTTTTTTGTTTTTTGGTGGGTTGGGGGGGTTGAGGGGGGGTTGAGAGAGAGGTTGTACGAGGTGAGGAAGAATGAGGGAGGAAATACTGAAGCTAGCTGGAAAAACAAGAACTATTTTTCACAAAGTAGTTTTTCATGCGTTTCATGGATACTTTGCAGTAGCACACTTAAAAAATGCCAATGGACACTGCAAACGGAGCATATTGATATGGATGGCAGCATTTAACAGGATTAACTATAAACATGGCTCCAACAGGATGGCTGCCACTACATTGATGCCATGGACTACAAATCTGTTCTCCATGTGTGAAACTGTGGCACATGATGCTCTGTGCTGAGTCTGTGCAGTAAAGGGAGCGTTTGCATCAATTCAAAAACCTTAATATGAAACAACTCTGTTACCAGTTTGCTTCGTGTGCAGGTCTGTGGAGTGGCAGGGTGATTTTCCAGTGTCTGTACTGAATAATGTTACTTTAAGTGCTTGATAATTTAGTGGACTGCCTCTATGTGATCTCATCTCTCGTCTTATCTGCTTTGCCACAAATGGTTCTTTAAGTTTTTCCTCTGGTTTGACAACTAAAGGCTCCACCCTAAAACAGGTGGATTAGATTGAAATCTGATCATTTGCTATGAATTATTCTTAGATGCTACAATATCCAACTAATTATGTTGCTTTTCAATGTAACATTGTGATATTTACCAAATTGAATTGAGGTTTGCAAATGTGAAAAGGGTTGATTACATAGTATTAATGACAAGGTACATAGTGTGTTTGGTGACTGACATAAGGAGAAGGATTCATGTTAGTGTGTGTATCGCCCTCTATCACAACTCATCTATTCTACTTTAAAACTTTTAGAGAAAAGATGTGAGGGCCACTTTTCAGATTCAATGTGTAAAATCTGTGTTGCTGAATGTTATGGAACTGAGTCACACTGAATGACAATGAGGGGACTGTCCCTTTGAATGATGCTCTGCAGCTTTAGTTAACGACCTTTGTTTTCGGTTTTTTATTGTCACTTCTCAGACAGTGTATGTTGGCAGGAGCTCTCTGTGGTAATGTATTAAAACAAATGGAAAACAGCAAGCAAAACCAGAAAGTAGGCAGAGATCAAGGTTCACAAAAATGTCATGACATCTGAACAGGTTAAAAAATCAGCAGGTTAAGGAACATTTGAGGCGGTTACGATAAAACGGTTGCTGTAGACTGAAAGAC